AAAAAAAAAAACCCAAAACATAACATCAACATTTGATTTTGCCTCAAGGAAAGAAAGACGAATATACACAAGGATTTGTCCACAGGGATATTCACGGCATTATTTACAACAGTAGGAAACTGGAGAGCGAGCAGGGATTAATTATGCAGAAACATGAAAATCAGTTTTATGATCAATAAATAAAAATACATATAATCCAGACACGAATATAAATAAGTACTATTATAGAAAAGCATTGCATTTTACAAATCTTTCGTCAAAATTAGGTCATAGGTTCTTTTCAACATACTACTGGAAGACTTAACCAGAGCGATTGGGCAAGAGAAAGAAATAACTGGCACAGTAATAGGAGAGGAAGAAGTGAAATTGTCCCTATTTGCTAATGACATGCTCTTACATACAGAACACCCTAAAGACCACCAAAAACTGATTATAACTAATAAATTCAGTGAAGTTATAGGATATGAACTAAACATACAAAAATTACCAACATTACTATATATTCATAACAAACTATTCAAAAAGGAATTAAGAAAACAATCCTATTTACAATAGCAAAACAAAAAAATAAAATAAAATACTTAGGTTTAAATTTAACCAAAAGTGAAAGACCTGTGTACTGAAAACTCTAAAACACTGATGAAAGAGACTGAAGAAAACACAGATCAATGGACAGATAACCCATAGTCTTCCTACAAGAATGGAAAATCCATTTGTTAAAATGCCCCTACCCAAAGCAATCTGCAGACTTAATACATGTTTTATCAAAATGTCAATGTCATTTTTCACACAATAAATTAGTATGGGACCACAAAAGACCACGGACAGCCAAAGAAGAACAAAGAGCAAAAAAGAACAAAGCTAGAGGAATCACACTCCCTGATTTCAAAATATATTAGGAAGCCAACAGCAAGGTACTGGCATTAAAACAGACACATCAACCAGTGGAAGACAAAAGCCCCGAAATAAACACAAGCGTTTACGGTCAACTGATTTTAGATAAGGGTGCCAAGAACACAGGAAAGGGCCATCTCTTCCTTAAATGGCACTGGGAAAACTGGTCATCCACATGCGGAAGGATACAACTGGTTTCTTATCTCACACCATTGCTTTTTTGTTGTTATTGTTTTGTTCCGTTTTATTTTTTTTATTAAATCCTAACTGCATACATTAACGCATTTATGTTAACTAGTTTGATGTAAGTATCTCATACCATTTCTAAAAGTCAACTCAACACGGATTAAAGAATTAAATCCATGGCTGTTAAGACCTGAAGCTATGAAATGACTAGAAGGAAACCCAGGGGAAGCTCTAAGACACTGATATGGGCAACAATGTTTAGGATATGATGCTGAAGGCACAGACAACAGAGACAAAAATAGAGAAAGGGAAGGACATCAAACAAAAAAGCTTCCAAAAAGCAAAGTTTCAGATAGAAGAAGCAATCTTGTGATCTACTGTAAAGCAGAGTGACTATAGTCAATAATAATGTATTCTATATTTCAAAATAAGAGTAAAATTTCCAAAGTTTCACCATAAAAATGATAGGTAAACAAGGTGATGGACATGTTAATTAGCAAGATCTAACCATTCCACATGGTATACATACACCAAAACACCACACTGGACCCCACAAAGGCACACAATTATAATGTGTCAATTAAAAGCACTAATTTTTTTTAAATTAGGACATGGAAAAAGCCCATAGTGGGGGGAGAGGCAATAATTTACCCAGTGTCAGTATTGAAATGAGTATAAATTTACATATTCTTACATATTTACATATCTCTATGTGGCTATTAAATGACAATAATCCACATCCATTAAGAAATAGAATAGATAAAAAGAGAATTTTAAAGCAAATTAAAATAGAACAGGGTCAGGTAGTGTTTAACGTAAGAAAATCAGAGATTTTTTCAAAGACAAATCTAAACATGAAGAGACATATGTTTAGACATGTTCACCACTGTGAGTACCAATAGATTATTCTAAATATCACCTCTCCACATATATTTACAGATACTCAAATACAGCAGTATTAAATAAGCATTAGCAACAATTATTTTTTTTCATCCTGTGAGACCATAAGACTCATAAACTAGGGGTGTGGAGGTGGTAAGAAAAAGGAAATTTAAGTAAAATTGCAGCTATTGTAATTGCAGGAGGTAAGAATGATCCAGGCTGAGCCTATTTTATTCTAAATCATTATCTTCAGTTAAACCAATTGCTTCATTTTTTTCTTGCCTTTCTTTTGGAATACATAAATTAGCAAGAAGAACTGGTATACTGATACAACAAGTCTACTAAAATTGACAATACCTTCATGAGTTTATACCCTTTATGATGCAGAAGTAACACCTTTCCAAGCAATCTCTGAAGAGCAATCTTTGTCAGATACGGTTAGCTCCTAAAACAAGGGGGAAGACATGTACACACATTCCAGAGTCAGACAGAGCTTCTGACAGAATAAACCTTTCCACACAGCTGTGGTGAGAATTAAATGACCTGATACATGTAAAGTGCTTAGGGTAGTTTCTGACACACGGCAAGCCAGCAATCAATAGTAGTTACTGACATTTTACCATGGCCACTTTGACCTGCTCTATATATGTGTCTTAGGACATGGGGGAGAAGAAATGAGAAATAAAACACAAAGACCCCTTATTTCCCTGCTTCCATACTGTAACCCGTGTGAGTCCATCTCTTACTGGGGAGAAGGGTCCACACTGGCCATTTCTTACATACTGTAACCCGTGTGAGTCCATCTCTTACTGGGGGAGAAGGGCCCACACTGGCCATTTCTTACATACTGTGCCCCACGTGAGTCCATCCCTTACTGGGGGAGAAGGG